TGATTGGATTGAATTGATATCTTCCTCACTTCAAGTACCAGACAAAGGAAAAGCCTTGTCTCTCTGGGGGAAATTATTTGCTCCAGCTTTCTAGAGTTCTTTTAAAAACAATGTCTCCATACAACAAAAAATTATGCGATTTGTAAAGGAGAAAGAAAATGTGATTCATGAACAATTGACTTTTTAAACATTAATAGCAGACACGTTGAAGGCACAGATGTTGGCATTAAGAGACAAAAACTTTCAAATAACAATGATGAATAAATATGTTAAAGAAATCAGAGGAAAAGTGGATAAAAAGATGAATAATGTCAACATGTAAGTAGAATCTCTAAAAAGAAATAATTGGCATTTTCGATATGAAAAACAATATCAGAATTGAAGCATTCACTGGATGAACTTATTAGCAGACTAGACACAAAGAAGAAAGTAAAAGTGAAACAAAAATAGGGCAGTAGAAAATCTCTAAACCGAAACACAGAAAAAGAATGGGGAAAAAGTTAAAGCAGATTGTGAGGGACATTTGGGATAGTATAAAATGGCTTAACAGCCAGGTTACTGGAGTTTCAGAGAAAGAGAATAGAGAGAATGGGATGGAAGAAATATTTCAAGAGAAAATGGATAAGAATATACCAAAATTGATAAAAGATTCTAGAAACTCAATAAACCTCAAGAAGAATAAATACAAACTAAAGTCTAGGCATATCATAATTAAACTGCTAAAACCAAAGGATAAAGAGAAAATGTATTTAAAGCAGCTAGAGAAAAAAAGACATTATATTTAGAGGAACACCAGTAAGAATTATAATTGACTTCTCGTCTCATCAGAATCAAGAGTCCAGAGGCAATGGAATGACATCTTTAAAAGGATTTTAAAAACAACAACAAAACTATCAGCCTAAATTTCTATGACCAGTGAACATATTTATTAAAAATATATTATTGACATTCAGAAACAAATCTGAGGGAATTTGTTGCCGACAGATCCTCAGTACAAGAAATGGTAAGGAAAGAAAGGAGTGCTATAGGAAGTTCTTAAAGCTGGAGGGAAATGATTTGTTATGAATATACGAACATGCAGGAAGGAATAAAGAGCATCAGAAAGAATAAATATCAAAGTCTTTAATTTTTTTAAAAAATTAACTTTTTGAAAGCAACAACAATAATAACTTGAGGAATGTAAACATTATGGCAATAGTAATATAAAAGGTAGAGGGAGAATTATCTTGTAAGGTATTACATTGTATGAAGTTGTAAAATACTAATTTAAGGTAGAGAGTAATAAGTTATAGGTCTGTAGTAATTATTAAAATATAATACAAGTTATCTTTTAAAATAATGGAGGGAAGATAAAATAATAAAAACTTTTTTAAAAATGCCACTATGAATTTATGGTAATTACTGTGCACTTAAAATCTAATTTTAAACCTAATTGTGATTTCCCAACAAAAGTTGCTATGTAATACAATTGCATTGTTTTTTATGTAGTGTTTTCCTGTTATTGTTTTCAAATAAAAATATACAAACAGCTGGTGAAGCCTAAGCTCTTTTAACCCCAATATGGTGAGGTATGCAGCTACAAATCAAGGCTCATCAAAGTGTTCGATGAGTCTGAGGATCATGATTATGTAATGCTTCAAGAATGGAAGGTCATAGTCCCTACTCCACCCTAGAATAATGGGGAAAATATTTGAATTCCTAACTAAAAAAATGAGAATTCTTCAAAATGTGTTTGTCCCCAAAGTGCTGACTGACTTGCCAAAAAAAGAAGAGTTGATCATTGCAAATAAAGGTTTAGGTGGATTGTCTCAGATGAAACCACTGTGTCACTCATATGCTCATAATCTATCTTTCATATCTGATCCCCTTGTCCCCAGCAGTTTTATAATGATCTTTTCTCAGAGATTCATCAGTGTACCTTTTGTATGAGTAAGAAACTGTGGACTGTAAGTAAAATTATCGTTATAACCCTAATATATCTGCTCCTCATCTTCTAAGATTTACTTATTATTTTCCAAATTTATCACTTTCAAACATTTTCAGTGTTTGGCTATATCTGCATTTTGCTTAATTTCTAAGATAAATTATGCTACTCCATGTAGCCATAGAGATGATATCTTCGTATTGACATGGAAAAGATGTCTATGACATGTTTTTGAGAGTGGAAGACAGAGCAGCTTATAGGGCAGTGTCGATGTGATGCAGATGGGAAGGGAATACCTTCAATTTCTGCTTTATACAATCGTGTATTTAAACTTTTACACTTGTTAATACACTGTATTATAATTTTTAAAAACATGGTCCATGTCTACTGTTAAGACTACATTTTTTTCAAGTCAAGCATATTTATTTTTTTAAATAAACCTAAAAAATTTAGAACTAGAGAAAGTTTAGGGCATCTATAAACTTTTTCTGAATATAGTTATAGGGAGGACAGTAGGCTGTGTGAGTAGTGGTAATTACAGTTTTTTGAGAAAGGTATTTATATATTAATACTCTATGAATTTATTAGGTTTTCAGTATTGGTCTTATGACAAAAGGGAAAAGGCTTTAAAAACCTAAAATAATAAGAGAAGCAATGGTTGTCTTTGATAACTGTCAATTTCATCTGCATTTCACTTACTAGAATGTGTCTTGTCAAACTACAAAGAATTCAGTGAAAAACTCTTATCACCCAATTATCAAACAAAGCTGCCTGAAATTATCTTTATCACACAGTACAACATATAAAAATGAAAGTGAATATTTCTTTTTTTTTTCTGAAGTGCTTTGACTTTTAAAAATAAATTGGTTAACTTGCTCCAACTAATATTTAAAACTAGAACGACTTTCAGTCTGGTACTATGAAAAGATCAATGATAAAAATTTCTAGAAATTTATACTAAAGGTTATTTAGAAATCTAGGATTCATAGAGGTATAGACTATGTGAGCAAATGGATTTTTTTTCTTATTTCCCATTGTTTTTGTACTTTGATGAATATCAGTGTGCTTTACTTACGCTATAGGACATGGCTAAATTTGATAGCAGTCTACTGCTCTGCATATCAACATTTAATTGTCTTAAGTGAATCATAATGCCCATGGTTGGACGCTTCTATGCCATTGCTCTGGTTACCTCTTTTCATCTGGGAGGTTTTTTTATTTTTTTGTTTTGTTTTGTTTTGGTTGGGGCAGGCGAAACCGGCTGAGACCACATATTGGTCAAGAGGTAGTCTCAGCCTTTTGGTTCGTATAAGGACAATAACAGAAGATTTTACTGCATAAAATAACTCAGATACTTTTCATGATCAAGGACTGAAATGTTCCAGTTAATCAAACATCCTGCTCCTAAGAAATGTAGCATTTGTTAATAAAACCATGGAAATCAAATACTAAAATTTTTTTCTAGCTTTGTTGAGATATAATTGACATAAAACATTGTATAAATGTAAGGCGTACAACATGATGATTTGATACACATAGATATTGTGAAATGTTTGCCACAATAAAGTTAGTTAATATATCCATTACTTTACATAAAAATATTTTTATTTTGACGTCATCAAAATCTATCAGAATTCCAGCATTTTGGCATATCTCCTCTACTGTGTCTCTTGATCTTTAAACTAACATTTGTTGAACGTTTTCATGTTCCAGATGCTTCACATGTGGTAATTCATTTAGTCCTTGCAGCAGCTCCACGAGGACTGTGACCCATGAAACTGCTCCATGCTCAGCCATTTGTCTCCTAGATTGATGGTGGTCCTATTGGCAAGTCGAACTGGGGCCTACACTGCCCTTCTCTGTGGTTGGACCCTAGCATTGGTGGTGATCTAGTTTTTCGTTGAATATTATAAATTATTTCTTCTCACTATCTCATCTCAAAAGCCAACTTAAAAAAATTGTTTTTCAATTCAAAAAAAATTCTTGCAAAATATACATAAGATAAAATTTACCATCTTAACCATTTTTAAGCATATAGATTAGGTACATTCATTCACATTGTTGTGTAAACGACTCCACCATCCCCCTCCAGAACCAATTTCATCTTGCAAAACTAAAACTCTGTATCCATTAAATAACTATTGCCGTTTCCTTCTCTCCTTTGCCCTGAGCAATCACCATTCTATTTTCTGTTTCCATTAATTTGATTATTTTAGGTACCTCATATAAGTGGAACCACATAGTATTTGTTTTATTGTACCTGGCCTATTTCACTTAGCATAATGTCTTCACGTTTCACCCATGTTGTAGCGTGTATCAGAATTTCTTCCTTTTTAAGGCTGAATAATATTTCTTTGTTTGTACTATATACCACATTTTGTTTACCCATCCATTTGTTGATAGGTATTTGGGTTGTTTCTACTTTGTGGCTTTTGCGAATAATGCTATTAGGAACATGAACATACAAAAGTCTCTTCGAGACCTTGCTCTCAGTTCTTTTGGGTATATACCTAGAAGTGGAATTTCTGGATCATATACAATTCTATGTTCAATTTTTAAAGAACCTCCATACTGTTTACCACAGCAGCTATACCATTTTACATTCCCTCCAACAGTGCACAGAGGTTCCAGTTTCTCCACATCCTCAACACTTGTTTTCTGAGGTGTGTGTGTGTGCGTGTGTGTGTGTGTGTGTGTGTGTGTGTGTCTGTGTGTCTGTGTGAGACCACCCTAATGAGGTGTATGAACTGACTTTTTACACCCATCTCTGTCCTTATCTTACTTTACAGTGGCAAACTTTTACTATATATGTTTTGACTAATACAAATAACTGCTACTTTATGAGTATGTGAATATTATAAAAAGTATTTTTGTGGTAATTTCTATATGGCCATAGAGTCATTATGAATTATAGAGAATAAAAAAGAAGGGCCACCACTGAGTGGAGATTATTCCCTCAAGTGCCTCTCTAACACACTAACTCCATTTCTATATTGATTTTAAACTTAAATTGAATTTCGTGATTTATGACATAAAAGACACTGATTCTCCTTCACAGATATTATTTTTTCCTTAGAAAATCCATTCCTCACTGCCGAAGAATTAACAGGATGCTCTCCAGTGAATCCTTACATTCTCCTGCATGCAGCCGCTCCAACTCACAAGCCTCTATAGACAGCGCCTCCATGGAGGATTTCTGGCGGGAAATAGAAAGTATTAAAGAGAACAGCATGGGGGGACAGGAAGAGCAGACGCCAGCCGAGGTCAAGCCCGTTGATGGTAAGGTGCTAGATTTGTTTTCCTATGTGCTGACTGTCTTTGTATGTTCTCTCTTATTCTGTCAGCAGGTAGAAATTATCCCATTAGTAATTTAACAAATGAGTTAGTAGAATTAGGCATATCAGCTACCTGTTTCCACCGATTTGTATCTACTGGACTGGCTCAGGATGGCTTCTCTCCAAGGTGACATAATCCGAAGGAGGGCTGTCATCAAAATCAGAATTGATCCCTTACATAATGCTACTTAGGGATGCTGTGCTTAGCTATTAATTTCATTTATTATCATCTAGCAAACTGAGTGTTTTAACTTTGATAGCTTTTACATCTGTATGTCTGTATACTTGACTATTAATTACAGAGAGAGAGAGAGAGCGAGAGAGAGACAGAGAGAGAGAGAGAGAGAGAGAGAGCTTTTAGATCAGTCTTTAATTCAAAGAGAGATGGAGAGAGAATGACTGAAAGAGGGATGGGGAGAGGGATAGGAAGAGAAAAAGGGAAAAAAAAATGCCAGTATAATTTTGGAGGAAAAAAATCTATGAAGCATTTACTGGTATTAATGTATTTGGAATGTATTGTTTTATATAATGCATGCAAACTAAAAGCCATGTAAAATATACTAGTTTTCAGTAAAACTAAACAGAAAGAGGTTGAGAACCAAAATAAATTTAAAAATAATGAACGTATAATTGTCTTTAGTTTTCAAAAAGAGCAAAATTACTCACCTGGGATTAAAAGCATGAGTTATCTCCTCCACGTCCTACCTATGAACAAGTAAATACATAAGACATCCAAGAAAGACTGAAGGTAGTTTATTAAGTGTACGCATATGAATATTTTCATTAGGCAGTGATACACATGTGTATGTACTTAAATGTGTATGTATAATGTGTATTTGTATTACATACATACACATTTATATCTATCTGTAATCAGAGATATTGAAATATATGAATTCACAGCTATACCTTCAATTTCAATCTAATACCACTAAGTTCATTATACTTTTCTCCCTTAAAATATTTGTAACTCCTTTTTTAGTAAGAAAACTGGCTTCCATTATCTTAAATATATATACTTATTTGATCAATACCCCCTGTACATTCATAGTTTCACTCTACCTCTCATGGTTGCCCTTCTCATCTCACTTGGGTTCCAGTATCCTAGCCTAGACTACACCTCTGCATAGATGTCTGCCTTGCTGTGCTCCAACTAATGGCTTTATGCTTTAGTACTAATTTTGGGGAGAAGAAAAAAGTAGCCGTCTTCTTTTAAAGAAATTAATATTCACATAGCTGACATTTCTACTGCTTTGTTTTTACATATACAGTATTCATCCGATAGTTTTTCCCTTTAACCTAAAGAGTTCCCTTCAGCATATCTTACAGAGCGAGTTTGTGGTGATAAATTCTCTTGATTTTTATTCACCCGATAATGACTTTATTCCACCTTCATTCTTGAAGGAGATTTTTGCTGGGTATATAATTATTGGTTGACAGGGTCTTTCTATTTTCTTTCTTTCTTTCAGGATTTTAAAGATGTTATCCTACTGTCTTTTGACCTCCACTGTTCCTGATCAAGAATCAATGTATTTATATTGTTGTTTCTCTCTATGTAATGTGTTATCTTCCTCTGACTATATTCAGTTTTCTTTCTACCTTTGCTTTTCAGCAGTTTGACTCTCAAAAGTCTAAGTGCAGGTCTTTTTTTTTTTTTTTACGTATTTACCTACTCAGTGTTAGCTGAACTAGTTGATTTTTCAGCATATTTTGGAAACTTGGACATTATTTCTTCAAATATTCTTTTCTGCACCACCCTCTCTCTTCTCTGAAACTTCAGCTGCACATATCTTACAGGACTTAACATTTCCCAAAGGTCAGTGGGGCTCTGTTTTAAATGTTCAAAAATATTTTTCTGTCTTTCACATTGGATACTTTCCGTTGATTTTTTCAAGGTTACCGGCCCTTTCTTTTAAAGTTTCTAATATGCTATTAGGCCCTCTCAGCAAATTTTTTATTTAATATATTTTAATTTTCAGTTCTATAATTTATATTTTAGTTCTTTTCGTTTTCTTTACATTTTTCATTTCTTTGCTGAAATTCTTTGTGCACTCATCATGAGTATCTTTTCCTGTAAGTCCTTGAGCATATGTATAATAGCTGCTTTAAAGTTCTTGTCTAACATCAGAGTCATCTCAGAGTCACTTTCTATTGACTACCTTTTCTCTTGATAGATTAAGCCATTTTTTTGTTTTGTTTTTTATTATGTCAGATATTATAACATTTTTGTTAATGTAATTATATCGTAACATTATTGATAAGTTGCAGACTCTGTATTCTATTATATACCTCTGAAGGGAGTTAAGTTTAGTTCTAGTAGTTAACTTGACTAGACTCATAATCCCAAGTCTGTTGTTCCTGCTCTATGTAGCATCTGTAACCTTGGTCATTTATTTTAGACTTCTAGTTGCTGTTTTTCAGTAGTATGCTTGGTGTCTACCATTCACTCACCTTTTTAGTTCAAGGTTTAGTCATGGATTTGGTCAGAGTTTATGTACAGATTTTGAAGCGCTTTCCTATGTGGCTTTCTCCTAACAGGAGTATGTTCCTCATTTTCCAGCTATTCTGGTAATTGCATGCTCTGTCCTCTGACTACTCAAATAAGTCTATGGCTTTCTGTTTGAGTTTTAGCCACCCGGTACTGTAGGAATTGAAAAATGACCTCAACTGTAAAGTTGCATAAATGTAAATCTCACCCAGCGCATTTTCTTTTATCAAAATTTAATTGTTTTTCACTTCCTGCCTGCACTTGGTTCCTTTCCATTTCCTTCAAGTAGTTACTTTTATGTACTTAGTTTAGAGTTCAAAGTTATTATGCATAGGACTGGTTTTTCTACACAAGCTACTCTACCTTCTCTAGAAGATTTTATTCCCTTTTAAATATGGTTCCCCAACAAAATTACTAACATGGTATATTAGTACAGAATGGTACATATGTGAGCTTTATGCACTTTTAAAATTTGCTGTTCTATATTCATTATTTTCTGACTCATTAGAAAAATTCCTTAATTTTCTGTTTCACTTGAAAGTTAATTAATTTATATATGTGTGCCTGTTGTGTGTAGACACTATGCAAGATTTTGGAATTCTTTCATGGAGTTTGTAATTTAGTGGAAAAGAAAGAAATCAGTGAAATAATATAACCAAACATAATTTTTGAGTAAAAGTTATTTTAAGGAAAAAGAAACACAGCATTATTTGGATAGATAGCGGTAGTACCTGACTTTGTCTGAGGGATTCAGGAAAAACGACTTACGTTATTGAGGAAGGAATTAGTAAACTTAGATCTAAAGAGTTGAATGGCCAGTATAGGGGGTCATCTAGAAGGATGGACATGTCCAAAGGAACTTTGTAACAAAAATAGATTATGGCGCTTTTGAGGAACCAGAAGTAGGCTAGTATTGCTCAGGAAGAGAAGATGAGAGAGTATGGTACAAGCTGTGATCAGAAAGGTAAGCAGCTTCATATTTATAGGCCATGTTAAGGGTTTTATTCTTAATTCTATGAGCAAGGGAAAATTGTGGCATTTTTTTAAGAAAAGGGTATTGAGTTTATATTTGTATTTTGAATGGATTAATTTAGTTACAATATGGAAAATGGATTGGAAGAGGAATGAAGAATGGGAAGAACTATTGAGAGGCTATTGCAGCAATTCAGGTGAGAAATGATGGTAACTTGGACCAGGGTCATGGCAGAAGAGATAAAAAAGGGTGGAAATTTTTGAGAAATAATAAGGAGGTAATATCAAAGAGACTCGATAATATATTGGATTTGACATGTAGAAGAGAAGATGTCAGTAATGTCTCCTGGGTTACTTGCTTGCCAAATTAGGTGGAAAGTAGATTTCGTTTACTAAAATATAGAATACCGAAAGAGGCCTAGAGTTGGGAATGAAAAAATATGCATTCAAGTTTGAACATGTTGAATTTGATATATGGTAGAGCCAAGTAGATACTGAGTAGGCAGCTGGAGCTGGATATTCCAAAGAATGTTTTATGTTCAAGTTACACATTTGGCAACTTGAGTAATGAGCACAGGATTCCATTTTCCATAATTCAGCAAACAGGAGCAACATTGATCTCTTCTATATAGACATTTCTTTACTGTGGAAAATATATATTCTACATATTCTACAGTTTGAGTCCAAGAATTTAGATTATCCTTAATCTTAGTATATGTTGTTAACTCAGCAACCTTATCAATTACTCTTTACTCTTACTCTGTCTTACAGAGCTGTAGGAGGAAAAAATCCAATTTTTAAAACTAATATTAAGCTATATTTGTAAATTCTGTCTTCAAAAATGAAAATCTTATCTAAGGCTTAAGGAAAGGAAAGGTTCCAAGTCATACTCACTAATTTAAAAGGTTTATTTTAGATTAGGGCTGTTAAACTTTGGTTCACCTTTGCATTTTCTGTTAAAGGACAATTTATAAAGCAAATGAACAACAAAAATACAAAGTAAATAAAAGATTTCTCTAGCTAAGAAAGTGGACCTGTAAAGCATAGTAGAAGGCTTTGTTCATATACCAATGATGCAATAATGTCTGCAGAATCGAAGACTCCTAGACTGATATTTTGATAGGCTATTTACAAATCATTCTAATCTGTTCTTTAGACAAACCTCATTCAAGAATGCCTATTTAGCCTCGTTCCTAGAAATGTATTTGCAGTGGATTTTCTGTTACAAGATATTATTTTGAACTCCTTATTATTTTTGTACATCTAATTTATGGTAGCAATTGATTCTCATTATGATGAATTTTACATTTTTAAATTGTCTTCTAAAAAAGAAAAGATTACTTAATGTTCAGAATGAGAAACGTGAGAGAACAGATCTCTGTTGAACACATACTCTATACTGGGTTCTTTGCCATCTGTTATAAACTTGACTTACTTTAAAATTACTATGCAGACTTTTCATTTATTCTTATAGTCCTTTTCCATAATTTGGAAAAAAAGACAGTCTTAATATGTTTACTGGTATTTCTTATCCACTGATATGCACAGACCTACAGATATACACACCATCCAATCAGACAGAGAATGTCCTAACCTTCTCTTGGTCACATTATTTTATAGAAGGAGAACTTGAAGCAGAATGGTTGCAAGACGTTGGTTTATCAGCCCTGATCTCAGGTGATGAAGAGGAGGATGGCAAAGCCTTGCTCTCCACATTGACTCGAACCCAAGCAGCTGCAGTGAAAAAGAGATATAATACTTATACTCAAACCATGAGAAAAAAGAACAAGCAATCTGTCAGGGATGTCAGAGAAATATTTGGAGTCAGCGAATCTTCTGTAAGTAATGAACATGGCTTAAAAGTTTTGGTTTGATGGTGGGCAGGAGGTTCAGAGGAGGTGAACATGGAAAATAAGTATCAGAAAAGTCTAGTCACCCTTTAGATTTTAGAGGAAAGTAAAGCAGACAACACAGTACAAAGTTTTACAGATTTGAAACTTAAGTGATCATTCCTTATCTCCCATACAGCTTTCTCCCTCGACACTAAATTTATTTACTTCTTTTGAAGTTGTAGAATAACTGTTTGGCATTGGAGCAAGTCTTTGTGGATGGAATACAGAGCCTTTACTTAAATCTAAGGGCCAAATGGAAAGTCTGTGAACAGGCACAGGAAATCCTGGGAAAGTGGCCCCAGTATTAAAAGCAAGTCCAGGTGGTTCATTTTAAATAGGGGCAGGGATGGGAAAGTTGATAGGGTTGCTGTTACATTCAAATTAATTAAAATGGTAAAAAGTAAAAAGTGAACATTAATTAAGTAGGAGAGAGAATGATTCATAAAAAGCATAAGAGAAGAATCACATGTTTTATAGGGAATGGCTGATTGAAATTACAGCCTACCTTTAGCAGTTCCACAATTTTACTTCTGAGGCTGTTGGTCATGTTCTCTTATTTCTGTGTTTGTTTTATTTCTGTGTTTGTTTTAGCAACAATTTTACTTCTGAGGCTGTTGGTCATGTTCTCTTATTTCTGTGTTTGTTTTATAGCTAGCTCTGCCTTACAACTCATTCATTCATTCACTGCATCACTGCAATGTTGCGTTGCATAATTACATCATTGATGCAACAGATAGTAATGTGCAAGGTCCTATATTAAATTCTATGTAGATAGGATTCTTGGGACTTTGGTAGTAATTAGTGTAGAAAAAAGGAAACTTGATATTCTGCCACAATTACAAATAAAGTTGCTTAGGGCGAGTTAATCACTCTGATTTGGATTTTTCATATCTTCAATTATAATATCAATAATTACATAAATTAAAACTTCAAAGATATTGGGTAGCAAGCATGATTTAAGACAGTCTTCAACTTGAGTTACTTTAGGCTATCTGTAAGTCATATCTTCTCTTATATATATTAATCACATTGGGTAGTTACCGAGACAGCTCACATTTATGTAGTTAACCTTTGCATTTGTGCTAATAATGTCCTTGAATAGCACTCCTTTAGAACATGCTATAGAGATGGAAATTATCTATTTCTGTGCTGTCCAGTATTGTAGCCCCTAGTCACATGTAGCTAGTGTGAATAAAGAGCTGAATTTTTAATTTTATTGAATCTTAATTAATTTAAATCTAAATAGTTACATGTTGCTGTAGCTAATGCATTGAACAGCACAGTTCTAGAATCTTCTGCTGTATATAATGATATACCTTCAGGTAAGTGCATTATGAGTTCCGAATCCTATATCTTTCTGGACAGTGAGATTTTGTGCATCTGTAATTGAATAAAGGTGATACCCACAGCTTGAAGCAAGTGTTCCAGCCACAGATTCCTGGCCAAGATGCTTATCAAGGGAAAGGTTTACCCTGCTGGTTTAAATTCTCTGGGTCATTTTTCAGGTATCCCCCAGATCATCTTTACAAAGTCCTAAGAATTTGGCCTATATGCTTCCTTTCCCACTTCTATTTCCAGGTACTTTAGACCAAAGGTTGTTGCTCTTCCCTAGCAAACTACAAAATAAGAAAGAGTCTATAGGCTTCTCCCACATCCTTCAGTTACTCAGGAAAATGCATAATTAGCCTCTATGTTTCCTAAACTTTGGACATCTAGTAACATAGAAATGGGGAGAGAGAGATCTTTTTATGCTCCTCTTTCTTCTTTCACTTAGAGCCTGAAGGGAAACATAAAGTGGACATGTATTCATTTAGGCTTTAAGTATAAAAAGAAGAGACAGAAAGAAATCTAACTATGGGTGGTGAACACACAATGCAATATGTACATGCCTTACAGTTGAATTGTACACTTGAAACTTACTGGATTTCATTTACCAATGTCACCATAATAATAATAATAATAAAAAAATCCCCCCCCTCCAAAAGTATGAATGAATGAAGAGGGAGAAAGGTGGCAGCCACTTTAGTAACTCCTAGAGAAGTGGGGCCAGCACCATCCTGGGGGCCGAAGTCATTACTCACTACTGGGAAAACCAGGAAATCTCCACAGGAACCACTATCATGGCCACGCAATTTGACAGGGGAGTGGTAATGGGGGCCGACTCCAGAACAACTGCTAGGTCCTACATCACCAATTGAGTCTTCTAAGCCGACCTCTATTAATGATCATATCTTCTGCAGCTCAGGCTCTGCAGCTGATACCCAGGTAGTAGCTGATGCTGTTACCTATTAGCTGAATGAGCCTCTGCTGGTACACATAGCAGCCATCCTCTTTAAGGAGATGTGTTACTGATACCAGGAAGACTTGATGGCAAGAATCATCATTGTGGGCTGGGACCCCCAAGAAGGAGGGCATATGTACTCAGTGCCCATGGGGGCTAAGGCAGTCTTTTGCCATTGAGAGCTTCTATATCTATGGCTATGTCAATGCTACTGGAAAAGCGTGACCAAGGAAGAGTGTCTGCAATTCACTGCCAGTATTCTCGCTTTGGCCATGGATTAGGATGGCTCCAGTGGAGGGTTGATCCACCTGGCAGCCATTGCTGGATGCAGGGTAGAGCGGCAGGTACTTTTGGGAGGCCAGATCCCCAAATTCACCTTTGCCCCTTATTACCACATCCCTGAATCCTGAGATTCTGGGACACAATAAGTGATATCCCATACTGATGCAAAATCCAATAAACTATTAAATAAAAAAAAAAAAAGAAATGAAGAGTCTCTTACTTTTCTATAATACACAAGGGCAATAAACTGTTAGGTATTTAACTCTAGAAAAAGCAGAGAGGGCCCAGGACAGTGCCTTTGTGGTGGCGGGGGCAACCAGGGAGGAGATGTCTCTTCCTCCTGCTCAGCTTCCTCTTCTCTCCTTCCAGCCTTGCTGCTGAAGCCCCAGTTCTGGTGTGAACTGAGAATGGAGAATGAGGCAAGGAGAGTGGTTGCTGGTATGAAAAAAAAAAAAAAAAAGACCAGGTCTTGTGCTATCCTGGCAAATGAAAGTCAGTGAAAGCCTGGCATTGTATACGCTGCTTAAAATTCAGATTGTTCTTTGTCAAAAATGTAAAAAGCAGTATTTTTTTAAAATATTGTATATTTACAATATATAAAGCCTAATAATCATCTTCATATATTTTCCCCCCCAAAATTCAACATGTTTCTCCAAATAAAGAGTCACGGAAACATTTTAGGGATATACTTAAATTTTCGAGTTTCCTATTTGAATTTGACTTCTACTCCATGTATCTGTCCTGGTCTCTCTCTTTGTCCTTTTTCTCTCTTTGTCTCTCTGTCTCCGTCCCATATCCCCTCCTACTCTTTATTTCTTTCTTTGGCATAATTTACCAACATTAATAGAATAATTACCTAAAACTTTCCATTTCACTTTCTAATGAAGATTTAAACATCATATGTTTCACGAGATAATTTTGCATTATCTTAGACCTGTGAATTTGACCCAGTATACTTACCTAGTGGAAATATGAATTTAATAATTTGAAAGATAGATATATAGATTATACTAGTTCTTTTCTTAATTTTTTTGCACATAGAAGTCCATGCTTAAAATCATTTTCCTTTAAAATTTTGAAATAAAATTTTCTTTAGAATTTAGAAATAAAAAAATATATCCATTATCTTCTTTCATCCACCATTGCAGAAATGTCTATATCAATCTCATTTCTTTATATACAGGTGTGGAAACTTTTTAAATTTTATATTTGTCATTTAAATGTTGAAATCTTACCTATTTTACCCTTTAAAAAAATTCCTGGTCACTACTAAGTTCTTGGAATCTGAGAGCTCATTCATTCTTCAGGTTCTGCATATTTTCTTTTAGCATTTAAAACAAGTATTTATTATTTCTTTCATTTTCTCACTTATCTCCTTCTGGAACTCCTGTTATGATTGTTGCATTGTTTGGATTGAACCTCTGTTTCTCTTTAATGTTCTCTTAATATCCCAAGCTTTGTTCATGTGTATGTTCAGTCTGCATTCTTGGATATCTCTTCAAGTTCATTTTTTAAATCAGTAATTTGGCCATGGTTGTATTAATACTTCTGCCTTTCATTTATTTTTATTTTTTAATTTAACAATCATATTAATTTTCCATAGCCTCTCTTTTGCCCTGATGTCCCCCTAGCCAGCCGTTCTTGGTTTTTGGCTGCGATAACCTCTCAGCGCTCTGAAGGTGCTAACTGAACTAAACCTTAAATTCTGAGGTTCTCTTATTTTCCTTAAATTATCTATTTACTAGGGGGTTAAGTGTTTATTTTTTCATCATTATTTTTCTCTTCCATTGCTATCGTTCAATTAATTTTGATCGTTGGGTGTTGATTCGTATTTAGTAATGGAGGACAAGATTGATCGATTACTGTAGGTAATGGCAATATATTTCCTAAGCAGTTATGTAGACCTGTTTTCTCCCAAAAGCTTTCCTGTGAATGGAGTCTGGGCCTCTGTGAGTGGCAAAGTGTGTCAGTGTCAACTGTAACATTTTACTTTAAGAAATGTAAATTTGGCATCAATGCCAAAGTAACAAGAGTCCTGCAGAATCGGAATTAATTTTTTTAGGCAAACCTGACTTTGCTTTTTATACTCCTGTCCATATTCTTTTATAAGGCACCTATGAAGTGCAATTCACCTTTCTTTTTGTCCAGGGCCACCACACAATGCTAGGATAGCCACCACTATCCCCAAGGCCGGTGGTCACTGTCACCAAGAGGACACATTTTGGGTTTTATCCTAGCATCACATTTAGCTGATTTATACTATTCAGTGTTAGAGGGAGGAAAGGTCTCTTGGCTGCTTATTCAGAAAAACATTCTTCTTCAATTACTTTGTTCATTGTTTTCTAAATTAAGGGATGCCTTCCTGCTCTCTTTACTTTCATTC